ATGCCGACATGTGCAATTAACGACAAATCAAAGTGTTAATCCATTTGTTACTTGATGTTTGACGGTTCAGTGTCACTCATCATGTTTTGGTTTTAACATATATACATACATACATACATACATACATACATACATACATACATACATACATACATACATACATACATACATACATACATACATACATACATACATACATACATACATACATACATACATACATACATACATACATACATACATACATACATACATACATACATACATACATACATACATACATACATACATACATACATACATACATACATACATACATACATACATACATACATACATACATACATACATACATACATACATACATACATACATACATACATACATACATACATACATACATACATACATACATACATACATACATACATACATACATACATACATACATACATACATACATACATACATACATACATGAATTTGTAAAAATATCAGTATTAGGTCAGGCGATAGTAGGGAATATTTTTTTGCTATGAATAATATCTCGTGCATCCTGCAGCGGTTTTTGCGCGTCTGTGTGTTGGAAAATGTGGAGTCGAATGCCGACGGGGTTGAGTGACGTTATAGCAAATAAAATCAAATTTAGTCAGACGCTTGGCTTTTGGTGTCATTCGTCAATGATTTGGTTTTAACATACATACATACATTCATAAATACCAATAATAATACCTAATCTACTAATTATTAGGTTGAACATATTATTAAAACCCCAAAACATAGTAACGAAAAAAATTGATAGTTTTGTCTTTTTCTTGCTGGATTTCTTCAAGAATTTAATGAATATTTTTTGATAAATACTACGATTTTTCTATGACGGTGTTAGTGGAAAGTTTCTTCTTCATCCAGACAGATAAAAAATTGGTAGATGTGTTCAAAAGGTGGTTCATTAACCACCATGCCTTCTTGGAATTGTTCGTATTATGTTGCCCATGCACATGCATCGTGCGAAAGTTGCCAAATAAAAATGGTATTGAGAACTTGGTTGAGTACCATGTATGATACTTGTTATCTGTGTGGTTGACTAGCCCTTATTTTGATCCTTCCTTGTTTATGCTAAAAAACTGAAGTATCCAGAATTGCCGTGTATTAGCATACAACTTGCAAATATGATAATATCTGTGAGTTCGTGCTTATTGGCAACATTCCTCATTTTACAACTTTTCAATAAAACGGTTGCATGTTTTTGATCAATTGATATTGCTTGGAATGTCTGACATACCTTTCCAGTGTTAATTTTCAATATTATGATGCTTATTATTTTTAAAAATGGGAATGAGTCTGGCTACTTGTTCACATTCATGCTCCTCCAGTTGGTGTTTCTTTTTGTCTTTTTGTGATGTGAAGTGCAACTATTATTTCAAACTGATCCATAGATTTATCTCCGTTATATCGTTCCCAGTATGGAAAAAGTCTATTCCTGAGACAAATATCTTGACTGAGTTGACCATTAATTTTTAAATGTTGAACATTTGTTCTTCAACTTTGGTTGATTTCAACAACGTCGCGAAAGTTCAAACTGGGAAATTTGTGTTGATTTATCTACCTACATTTGTTTATATAAAAGTTAAGAAACAAATATTGATATTGTTGAGTTAATTGTTAACCGAAAGTTTCAACTTAACGCAACAAAAGAGCTGCACAAATCACGTACATGCGGATGCATACACAGAAATTAACTCTAATTAAATTTTATAGTAGCTGTAGTTGACAGGAGATATATTTTAGGCAATGTTATAGACACCTATTTTAGTTCTCACTGTAGATAAAAGGTGTGTCACAATTCAAAATTATAAAAAATTTTTATGTCATCTATTCTATTCCGCAAAGTTTCAGAAGCGAATCATTTTTTAAACGTTACAAAATCTGTTTTTAATTTGGTCACAAATCTCATTACTCTATGTTTCTATTTTTGTTTATTAGACATATTTATCAACAAATAATGATTGAAATATCAAACGCTAAATGTCATTTTATCAATTTTAAAGACAAGTTTAACAACATTCATGGAATCAATTCGTCAATAAAAAAATTTTAATTTAATACTAACAAAACTATCTCCATTGGACGCACTCGGTGCCCAACATTTGCACTGCTGTCCTTCCACACAAACTGATTCCTCAACCAACGCAGTGATATTTGCAACAGACAGACAGCTATACCCCTCTGATTACTAAAGCATGTTATCATTATTTTTAAAAACGTTTTATTTTGTCTCACTGCATAGAAGTCTCCATCACAAATGTGACAGAATTATTCCAATCCTTATATACCTTGCCTTTCTTTGGAGTTTGATACCGCGCCTGGCTGTCGGCGCGAGGTGTTATGAATGCGACATAACCCTCTTTGACTGTGCGATCGACGCGGCCAATGTTGATGAAGATTGCGACTCAGGCTGCTACACGACGAGAAGTTATTTCAATTTCTTTGATGAATTTTTAGGTGCCTAATATGGGGTGTGTACTTTGAAATCCATATCCCATCAACACGTGTCATGTAAGTTTCAAGTCGAGCCGTGTTTTTAGTTTTGGGTGATTTAGATGAAATAAAGATTATTTTTTATTTAAAAATACTTTTCACAATTTTTATATATTATTTTATTTTTTTATAAAAAGAATGTAAGACATTTTTACATTTATTAGAAAATATTTGTTTTTGATTGAATAATGAGTTGATGTTTAAAGTTGAAACATTTACATAAGCTGCGAGTTTTTACTGATAAAGCTAATTAACGTGAATGAGATTGACACGAAAGAGTCCGTCACATTTAATTACATTAATTGGCTTCCGTTTAGCCTCAAGAGTAACATAGTTTCCACTATTTCTCATCATCATTTCCAATTTAGACAATAAAATACTATCAAACTTTCTGTTACGAAAAATGTAATTTAATAAGACTGTTACCGTCTGTTAACGGGTTGTAATTAATGATAAGAAGATGAAATAAACCATCTGTCAACAAATTGTAGATTATTTTATATGTATTCAATCCCATCGAATCAATGGCGGACCTAGACAAAATATAAATTTTAAAAATTTTAAAATTTGATGGAAGGTCAAGAAAATAAGCAATGTTTGCTAGTGTGGCCAAAATTATACATAAATACGGCGTTTTTCTCTCTAAAAAATGACTTTTCCTGACTTTAAAAAAGCACTGGTCACGATGGGGTGGACCACGGCTTCTCCACGGTCCCCACCTTACATCCGCCACTGACTTGAATGGCTGACTCGGCGACCACCACCACCAAACACCACAGACCACGACAACGTCCTAATAAAGAAAGGATGCGACACGCAACTAACGGCCGCCCACGATCGATCCTGCTGGGGCTGGGAGACGCACTACACTTGTATCTGCAAGAACGATCTCTGCAATGGTTATTTCATGATTTTTTTTATCTAAAATTTTCAGTTATAACTTATAAATTATAATCAATTATTTTATTGTAATTCTCAGTTATATTATATCATTTTGATTTAATATTCTACAAATAAATTTAATTATAAAAGTTTATCACTTATTCATGACTTCAACGAAAAATGCACCTGAATTTAAAATTTTTTTTTTTTGCTTCATCCACATCTACATACCAATTACAAAAATTGTATTGAAATTTAATTTTGAATTTTTTGAGCAAGATAATTAAACAATAATCGTATGTAGGAGAATAATTTTCAAAATAAATTTTATTTTTTATTAACTTTTTCCACTTATTTTTATTTCTTACAACTCTCTTTCTAATACTATCTAGAGCAACAACTCCCAGTATTATCTAGAGCAACAACAAACACACAGTTTATGTAAATACGAGGAATTAACACGTCAAACTCATCGCACATGATTGGCGGTGATCTCTTTACATTCAGACCCGGTTTCTGCAAAAACATCTCCAGGCAATTCATTCAACGAACTTTAGTGATAAAAATCATAAAATAATTCTTTGTTTCAGACGATTTTGGGAGTGATACGGACTACCTCTACATGTCAAACGAGCAACACGTCCACTGTGGAAGAATTGTCAACATTTTGCTGCCAACTGCTGGAGTTGTTGTTCTGTTTTTGTTGTTGAGATTCCAATGAAGTGTTGGTTCTGGTTGTTAGGTTGCGAATACAAACCATTTTAATGTTCAGAGAGGTGCTCTCTTTAGGTTTTCTAAAAAATTTAGTTTATCATTTTTGAAATAAAATTTTTATTTTTCATTTTATTTTGCATCAATATCAGACTAAACTATAATACAACTGGGTTTAATGATATTAATTATTATGTTGAAATCCGCAAGTAATCAAATAATGTTGTTTCGATTTTAACAAAACGCGTCAGAAAAGTAATTAAACAATATCTGTTTACAAAACAACCAAAATGCAAAATATCTATTAAAATTTTGAAACATCAAATTGAAGTCACACTAAACCTTTCATAAACCAAAAATGAAGTTAACTTTTTTTACGTATTATATAGTTGTTAGAGCATCTTCCCAATTCGAACGAAATGAGCGGAAATTAATCAGTGGTCTTGAAAGACGTTTTTACATTTAAATGAAAAAATAAAAAATTATTATAAAATAAGGCAACCATCATAAACTCTGGAATGTTACAACTTTCCATGCATGTTTTGATGAGAACAAAAACTCAAACTTCTGTTGAATGCTGTTTATAATTTGTTTATACGAGGTAGGGTAAATATACTTAAAAGTTAAAATTAGTTGCTATTAATTAAAAGTTAAAAGTATTTCCAATTCTTTATATAGAATAAAATTAAATAAAAAAATTTCAAGTTTGCGAACACAGAAACTTGAAAATTTTTAGTTACTATGATAAAACTTTGCAGCAGATATTTCACGTAATGTCATTTTCATGGCCATCAAGTTACCTACTATCACTTTCCATCCTGACTGCAACTCTCCTAACGACAGAGAACGGTGCCGATAGATTGGTGTCGGTGAGGAGGAAGGGCATAAGGGTGAGGTGGCCCGGCCCGGTGACCTGCTTCCGGTGCGAAACATACTATACGGGATACTGCAGGGAGTCTCCGAGCAGGTGGTGGCCGTGCACAGGAAATTATTGCTATGTACTCATACTGGGTTCGTTTGTGTTTTGTTGTGCGGTTTGTCGTTTATCATGAAATTTTTTTAAATTATTTTCTGTTTTAAAGTGACTTTGAAGAGTGTTTTAGAATATTTTTCACTGTTAAACTAGGTACAAGTTTATCTGTCAGATTAATAAAGTTTGATTGGGTGCTATAAGATTTTAAGATTTTATAGTATTTAGTATTTACAAGCATTAAATTACACTAAAATTAACCATTTAAATAGTATTTAGTATATAATTCAACGTCAAAAAATTTTATTCAGACAACTCCCTCAGTAGGTACTGCCACGCAAAAAAAGAAGTTGAAGAGGAATGCAAGCCGAACACGAAGCTGGTCATCAAGCCCGGAAAGAAATTCGCTGCCTGCTGGTGCAACACGAGCTACTGCAACGGTTGTCTGTAATGTTTTCAAGATAATTATTATATGATAAATATATGAATTAAAGGGTAACTAGAGTTTTCGCCCGGGGCATTTTTTTCCGAACGATGATTCGCCGGAACGATGGAAGACTCGCCCTTACATTTTCGCCCGAAAATGAAAAATAATTTTTTGGTTGATTCGCTCGATCATTGGAAAATTAGCCCGAAGACACTTTTGCCCATTTATTGACAATACACACACACACACACACACACACACACACACACACACACACACACACACACACACAAACACACAATGCAACGTTTTATAACAATCTGTCATTTTTAGTTTCAGCTTTTGGGGTGTTAATCAGCCATTAGTTCAAAGTAATTAAAGTATTAATTGTAACATCGCTTAGATGGGCCCAGCGTACCAAAAAATTTTGCTTTAGTTTGAAATCATTTTGTTATTTATGTATTTAAGATACATTATAAAAGTTAATAAATAAAAATATGATATTCAATTATGGTATAAAAATTATATATATATATATTTTTCATTATAAATAGTTAATTCATATAAAGTTGATAAATTTTTTTATTTATTGTCTGTGTAAATGTATGGGATATCATTTATTAATTGTTATTTTGAAATATAATTATAATATATATATATATATATATATATATATATATATAGAGAGAGAGAGAGAGAGAGAGAGAGAGAGAAGACTCACGATGCACGTACAAACTGGCGCTATAAAGAATCACATGAAAGAGAAACACAAAACTTAAATTACTAGACAAATCTTGGACCACAATGTTGAAATCTTACATTACAATAACAGCCATTATAATTTATGACTAGCCGAATCATTACTCATTGAACAAAGACATCCGATAAGAAATATTCTACAACGGGCAATTGGAATTCTTCCTACAAATAAGTTTAGAAACAGACGAAATCATCGATAATGAAAACACGTAAAAATGTTATATTAAACAAAGTTGACGATTTTAAAACTAATTAAATGAGCCTTAAGTATTCACTTTCAATTAAACAAACAAGAAATCAACAAAGAAGAGTAGAGACGTAGTATATATATTTGAGCATCTGGCTACATACACAACGTATCAATTCGAACACCGAAGATGGTATAGGAATACCGAAAAAAGCTTTTTTTGTTCTACCATGCATAAAATAAAGAAAAATTTTGGTTTTAAACTCAAGAAACTTGAAAATGAAACTTGAAAATATTCATGCCGAAGTTCCATGAGTTGAAATAATGTGAAAAGAAATTTTCAAATTTCTTCCTGTGAATGTTGGGTCAACAGTTATTTGCTTAGTATAATTCTGTTAAGCTGGCTCAGTGTTAATATCGTTTTTAATGGCCTTTACCATCTTTCTCTTGGTTCCAGAAGTCACTGTTCTGTTAAAAAAGGCTAAAGCAACTATTTAGAGAGACAAATACCACTAGTGATGGGAGAACTTGTGTGATGCAGTTTTTGATTTTACTGGATTTATTGAGAGTAGCCAAGCAGTGATTTCAGCAATATTGCATGATGCATAGACCTAGGTGCCATGAATCGGATGACTCTTGACTACTAGGTCCAAGAATATTCTCTAATCATCCGTTGGCTGACTCTCTGAAGATATCTTTTTGCAAAAACAATGACACTGTCTCCATTATGCAGCATTGCTGATGTCAGCAAAATGTTATTTTTATATAATAATAATTATGTGATTTAGTTATGTGACTAGTGTTCAGCCGGTTACAAAATACTGCTTGTAGTACATATGCCTACTACGTATTCTATATGTAAACGTCTTAAAAGCTGATATACAATCCAAACTTCAGTGCTGTTGAGCTACTAGTAAATATTGATAAATATTGATATTTTCTCTAAATTTTTTCTTCATGCGGACAAACGAAATTAGGAATTAAGAAGGTGATATTTCAAAACATAAATAATAAGCTCCACCCTAATGTACATAAGTCATAAATTTTTGAAAAGATAGGTCATTAATTTTATTGCCACAAATATAATTTTATCTAATAAATGCACTATTTACAATATAACTAAATTCCAACAAATTTCAAAAAGTCGGTTAAAAACGATTCGGGCCTAAACTTTATTGGGCGAATCTTGCTTCGTTCGGGCAAAAAGTTTATTGGGCAAATGCTTCTGTAACCAAATTAAGGTCTAAGAGTTAGTTTTCTAATTTTTTTATTTTTTATTAATAATTACAATAAATAAACATGCTTTGAGAAATAAGCTTGCCCAGTTATTAAACGTTCATGAACGTAACAAAATAAATTCAATTCTTTATTTATGAACTATTTATTGATTCACCACCAAGGTTTTCCAACATGGGAGCCATACCCAAATCAGAATGTGTACAGCAAAAGTTGTGATGCAGTGGTTTGCGAGTTGACGTTGTTTGCATTGCTCTTCATCATGAACCCTTCGATTCATTGACCTACATTTTTTAGCAACCCAAAAAAGCTTTGCAAGTACACAGCAACTGCCTTTTTTTCTTGATTTGATTTTCAATCATCAACTTTTTTTTGCAAACTTGCCATTTGTTTAGAGAAGGATTATTTGCTATTTTTGCATCATAATGGTTTACTATGTTTACTTAGTCAGCGTTTTTTCATTTTAACATATGAAATCGATTAAGCTTTGTGGCGTGTTGACGGCAATTCAGACAAATCAAATGCAATTTGACAAAGTGTATTCCAAATTTTTTTTAGCTCACAGCAGCAAGAGCTTGACAAGAATCGTAACGGGAAGACCTTCTTGTATCATCTGCTCTTTTCAAAGCAACTTCACCTTTCGTCAAATTACTTGTCAATCAAGTTCATCAGGTATACAACATTGGAAGTTGATCCAACAATTTTATTTTCACCTCTACTACTGCAGCCTCACGTTTCAAGATTTACCTCATGTTTTGAAAGCCTTTTTATAGCATGCTTTCTAACCGTTAAAACCATTGGTAAACTGCTGCGTTTTGGGAAAGAAAAACAAGTGACAGATGTAACAAAATAGAGAAACCGTAGATTTAAAGTACTTCAGCTAATTCCGTGTTTTCATTTCTTTATTTGGTAATATGCGGTAAAACATATTCTTGGAACAACACCGTTGGTGATTACTATACATTTGAGCAGATTATAAAAGTCAATATCATTAGCAGATTCAACTGATGGATGCGCTGAGAATGTTGTCGTGGTTCATTTGTAACCGTCTATGCGGCAGGATTATCACTGGCGCTAAAGCAAGATTGTTTATAACCTGTAACCTCTGACTACAGAAGAAAGTTATCCTCAGTAGTCTGTGCAAAAACGTGATCATCTCTTTTGGATTGACAACCCTGGGTCTGAGTGGAAAAAACCACAGTGTCAAGATAGTATTTGTCAGCATTAAAAAACTATGAAATTGACGACGTGATAATGTCAACCTGAGATGACGATGGACGGCATACTTGATGGTATGAAAGCTTTGCCAGTGCACCAGTGCACAGTTGGAAACTGTTATTATCGGCAAAGGATTATTATTATTGAAAAAATAACTTAGTTTCTAGCATTCACCAACTATATTTTTAACTTCAATTTATTTATTAACAAATGCCCTACTAACGTTTACAGCTAGCGTTTCTGCTTTCCATTTAACCTTTAAATGGAAAAGTAATGAATAGCGTCTGTTTACAAACGTTAACGGGTATCCATAGAACTTGATACGACTAAAATTATCGCGAACGCAAACTCTGTGAAAAGTTGAAATTTTTTTGAAAAGTTGTATTCTAATTATGAGTTAATCGACAACGCTTTGATCGACGCCGTTTTGTCGTCGCGGATTTGAATGTCTCGCAATTTTCGGGTCAAAACCGCCCACAAGAGTCGTTCGCGTTAAAAGATTCGATAAAAATTATGTAAAAAATTTAATAGTCCGTGAGTGGAGGCCCTTGCATTAATCCGGCACTGGTCACTGCATATCATCATCTACGTCATCACCATCATCATCGTCGTCGTCGTCATCATCATCAGTTGTCCGCATTATTATCATCATCATTGAAGCATCGTCATCCTTATCATCATATATTGACATCATCAACATCATCATCAATAAGAATATCAACTTCATAAACGTTCAAAAATTGAAAATTTTAACTATAAAAGAAATTAAATAGAAAAGCAATTAATAAATGAAATATCTTATATATACAAACATCAATACAAAACTGTCACAAGGCCAAAAATGAAAATGTTAAATACATAAGACGATAATAGCAAAGATGGTTGAAAGAATGATGAAAAATATTTTAAACTTATATGGATTTTATCTTCTTCAAATCCTGAGTGTGGTGGTATGTGTGTGTATGGTGTATGGTTGCATGTGTGTAGATGTGTTTGTGTAGATATGTGTGTGTTTGTATGTGACTGTGAAGTATGATTGTGTGTGTGTGTGTGTGTGTGTGCTTTTGTCTGGTTAAGTGTGTGCAGATGTGTGTGTATGTAGATATGTGTGTGTATATGCTTGTGTGGTTGTGTTGATGTGAATGTGTGTGTTTGAATGTCTGTGTATGTGTGTGTGTGTATGTGTGTGTGTGTGTGTGTGTATGTGTGCGTGGTTGTGTGTGCGTGGTTGTGTGTGTGTGTGTGGGTGGTTGTGTGAATGAAGACGTGTGGTTGTTTAAATGTAAAAAAAAGATAAAAAGTTCTAAAAATTTTGAACCCCAGAGGTTGAATTCTCCACAAAACTCGACGTACAGACGCATTGTGCCGCATCATTTACTGTGATAGTCTTTGAGTTTCGAATAGACAGTATTCGAACCAGATGATCGGGTAATTGCAGGAGACATGGCAGGCACTTCTATAAACATCAAAATCATAATGTCAACCATAATGTCATCATCAAATCATAATCAAATAAGTAACCAGTCACAACATTATAAAAATATTTCATCGCTATGATGGTAACATCGTTACCAAAATCAACATCCCATCACTTATGATCAAAATTGTATGAGTTTATTTTAATATATGTGTGTGAACGAGTTTGTTTGTTTGTTAAATATCCAGAAAAAAAATAATTTTTTTGTTACCCACTAATATTATTATCAATAAATTTTTTTTAGATCCGATTCTAAACATCGGATTAATTTTATATTATTTTACCTTTAACCATTAACCTTTATTAGTGATTTTTATGTAAGTTTTTGTGTGCCATTTTGTGTTTGTGTGTATGTGAGTGTGTTTACGAGTGCATTTTTTTGTTACCCACTGTTATTATTATCATCACCGAATTTTTTTGTAGATCCGGTTCTAAACATCGGATTTTATAATTATTCATGCTTTTTTAAACATTTTTAGCTACGGAATGATTATAGCAAATTGAATGCTGGCTCAATGCTTAAAGTGCATTTGTATGTGTTTATTTTAATATATGAGTGTGAACATGTTTGTCTGTGAATGAAAAACTCACACGTCAAGTTTCATTATTTTTTAACTACAAATAGATCCACTGAAGACGCAACAACGGTTAAACTAATAAAAAAAGTGACTTATTTTTCTAAACATATTTTTAAATTTTTATATTTACGTAATGAAAAATTTATAAAATAAAAAGTAGACTCATGCCAGCATATACATGCATATACACATAATTTAATAATTAAATAGAAAAACTGTCATCGAATAATTTTTATAAAAGATGATCAATCGTTCAATGAATGGCCATCAGTTGGTTAAAGATCGTCCTTCATCATCTGTTCAATTATCTTCTTCCTCTCCTCCTGCCTTCTTATCTCCTTCTCCATTTCAAAAACGCTCTTACAATTTTGGAAAACTTTTCTTGATGTCGACGTTGATGATGACGTAAATCGCAGGTCATTATTGTTGTTGCTCATATCAAAATAATTATTTGGATCCGAGTCACTGGCCTGGAAAGTTTCGATGTTGTCTTTGTTGCTTCTCATCGCGTTGCTCAGGCTTCTAATGTTTTTCAGCACCAAGTTTTCAAACGACTCAAAATCATCGAGAGGGTCAGGTAGCACTACTTGGAACATCAAGGTAATTTTCATAGGACAGGATGGTAGGCCAACTTCGTCCAAACTGGCAAGAGCTTGCTCCTGCTTACTGTACTGTACCAAACACAAACCTTTTTTGTTGCCCGAGAAGAATAACTCTTTTACAACGCCGTATCTTGAAAATATATTTCCTAAAACATTTTCATCGTAGTCGTAGCTTTGTGAGGGCATCCATTTGATCTTAACATTATACCCTCCGTTATTCTCGTCCTCTCGCATTTTACTTTCTTTTAATTGTTTTCGTTTCAGTCGTTTCCTCTCTTCTTCTGCTTCTCGTTCCATCTCAGCTTTTAGTTCTGCACGTTTTCGTAGGGCTTCTTGCTGTTTGAAGACATCCTCCTCCAACCTCTGTCTTTTTGCTCTTGCCTCATTAGCTATCAACTTTTCTGCAAATCTTTTTCTATTTACGTCTATCTCTTTTTTTTTCTTATCGACTTGTTCACGGGCCCTAATGACGTTATCGTATTCATTTTTTTTAATTGGATCTAAAAGAAATTCGTAAACTTTCTGCAACAATTGAAATTGTTCAACTGCTTTTGGATTGTTGGGATTCTTATCCGGGTGAAGTTTGAGGGCCTGTTTTTTGTAAGCCTTTTTTACTAGGTCCTCACTAGACAACTGAGGAACGTCCAACAGTTCATACAAGTCATACTTCTTCAGGTCGATAGAATTTGATTTCGACATTTTCGTTGAATTGAATCGATAGAACGATGATAAATTTTGGACAGTAATGAAACTTATCCCAGTGTAGTCTTTGTTATATAACGCATACAACAAAGTCACTCACCAAAGAATATATAACTATATTCAGAATAGATAAGAATATATATTTGTATATTAAGAATAGATAAGAATATATATATTTATATATATATATATATATCTCTTTATAACATATATATATATTTCAAATATGTTGGTAATAGACCATAATTTTTAAAATATTCTATAAGTTATGCATTAATATGTTTGTAGTTTTTTTTTCGATTTTCCCACTAAAGTTTTTTGGCGAACGTTTAGTCAAAATCACGTTTAGCATGAAGGAAAAAATTAGAAAACATAATGATAGCGCAAACGTATTCAAAGAACACATCAGATTGACAATAAAATACCGACGTAACAAAGAATACAAACGTTTAAAATTTTATTGCCAACAAACCATTGAAGTAGAAAGAGGTAGTTACTTTAAAAAAAAGCCACGTCAAAGAAACCCAGTTCGAGAAAACGTTTAGGAGTTTATTGAATAAAAAAAATAAATAAATGTATTTGCTGGACAGTGTTATTTTGTTTATTAATTAATCAATTGATTAATAAGTCAATTATGATCAATTAGTCAGTCAGTCAGTCAGTCAGTCAGTCAGTCAGTCAGTCAGTCAGTCAGTCAGTCAGTCAGTCAGTCAGTCAGTCAGTCAGTCAGTCAGTCAGTCAGTCAGTCAGTCAGTCAGTCAGTCAGTCAGTCAGTCAGTCAGTCAGTCAGTCAGTCAGTCAGTCAGTCAGTCAGTCAGTCAGTCAGTCAGTCAGTCAGTCAGTCAGTCAGTCAGTCAGTCAGTCAGTCTATCAATCAACCTACCAATCAATCATTCATTCATTCAAATTGCTTTAAAAAAATACCCAACTTAAAGGATCATATTTTTTTTATTTTTACATAAACTTTGTCCAATTAATTTTATGATTTTTAGATGCAATCTGTGAAGGCAAATTTATATTAACTTGTTACCAGCATTGTATTATTATTCGCATTTTATGTCCTTATTTTATTAACATAAAGTTTTAAAATTTTTTTGTATTTATTTATTTTATATTAACTTATTTTCATTCATATTTTGTTCTAAATTGTTATATAACCTATCTTTTTTTGGATTGTAATTATTTTTGTCCCTTCTGAGTATTATAGTTAGCAAAAGATGCATCAATTCATGCTTAAATAAACTTTTCAAAACAATTTTTTAGAAGAGTTGACGTTTAGCGAAATGGCGGCACGTTTCCTCTTTGTCTGATTTTTTTGTTTTACTGAAACTTGGCACGAGAACTCTAACTCTCTCTTTTTTATACTTGCGACTAAATACATTTTAAAAGTAGTTTAAAAAAATAAAATCTTAAAAAATCGACTCAATCATTAAACATAATTAAACGAAGTAAACCCAAGAGTTGTCAGCATTAAAAGATTTATCCAGATAAAAAATGAGTATTGGTTAAAAATTCATGTCATATAAATTAATTCGTTTATTAAACCATTGGTAAAACGAAGGATGAACTTATGATAATAAGAAACTAATCCCTCTTCAAAAGGTTCTTTATCAAGTAATCCAATAAATTTTATGATTTGTAAGAAACAATTTGTGAACGAAAATTTTTATTCGTTTTGTTATCGTTATTCTGACCAAAAACACTTAAAACGTAATTTTCTTTTCAAAAATAAAAAAAAAACAAAAAAATTTACTCGATCATTAAACACAATTAAATGAAACAAACCCAAGTAATGTCAATTATAAAAAAATTTATCCAAATAAAAAGATGAGTATTTTTAATAAGTAACAATGTATGAAAATGTCAACTAAATAAAATGTAATTTAAATTTAGGCATTGATGGCGGGATTTCAGCTATGACATTTTTTCACTTCACGGAGAGAGTTTCTGTATTTTAGCAGGCTGCATGTCGTTTTCCGTGGATTTGTTATGATTGTGACTTCGTTTTTGTCCTTTGGATCGGTGGTTGTCATCATTATTTATCTGTGTTAAATTTTCTGGATTTTGCTGATTTCTTTGTAAGCTCGTCTCGTTTGGTTTTGCAATGCGTTTTATATTGAGGTCGTATCTTTTAGTGTCGATAAGTTCGTACAGTTGTTCTTTGCTGACTGGATGTGAGATGGACTCGCAAACAGCTTTCACTGTTTCGTAATTGTTGGGAAATGACTTGTCAGTTCTTTGCCTTATGAACACCCATCCATTTTCCCATTTGCATTCAATAATCTTTTGATCGAGATTTCTCATAGCTTTTGTCATCTTAGAAGAAAGAATTGCAAAAGGCCGATTCAGTCCGCTGGCATAGAGATCTCCAATAAAATTGGGAAGCATACCTTCTTTTATTTCTGTTCTCAGAGAAAGTTTAAAATCAACTGAATTAACTTGAGGTGGTTTCCATCTCAAGATCTCTTTGCATTGGCCCATTTTGTAGCCCATATCAACTGGCTGGAAAATGAGTCCATCTACCTCGTGGCACACCTTTGTTGCAAAACTTCCATCAAGTAAGCTTTTAGAATGAGTTATACTCCAAAATGGTTTAGCTCTGACGCTAAATGGTTCTGTGGATTTATTAACTTTGCATTCATTTCTTGGTTCAATGATATCCTTCATTATGCACATCAGTCTCTTGTCGAAGTTCCAACGGCCCACATTGTTTCCATCTATTCGAATAATATCGTGAATGAGATATCTTGGTATTGTCTTATCACAAATGTGATCAAGAACCATTTCCCCGTCTAATAAAGTGTCAATCAGATTGGCTTTTGAATCTTTTCTTTTTTTGAATGTTAATTTTTGTACTACTTGAAAGACAGTATTATCTCTATTTACCATAAATATGTTGTCTTTGTTTTCGACGAGCATCATGTACCTGACACCATCAGCTTTCCAACTAACTTTATAGGGCCTCTCCGTAAGGAATGATATATTTTTTTGGTTCATGCTGACTGGATGCGTCCCAGGAAAAATCCGGCTTTGCGTCTTACACATAACTTTGATTTTTTCTTGGACTCTTGAAATTTCTTTGTCATCCTTGACTGTAATTACACCCGCAACTTTACCATCCATAAATAAGTTTTCTCCTTTGCATATTTTGATTTTACTGTAACTGTTGCCCAAAACTACATTTCCATCATCATCTCTAGCAACATAATCTGAATCAGTGTACCAGGTAGGTAGTTGGGGTGCTTTTTGTGCGGAACTGCTTTGACCGAATCTTTTGCAGATTTCGTCCAGGTAGTCCTGTTTATATATGCCAGGTGGTCGGGCATCATTAAACAGGTTTAGTGCCATCTCCAGACTCAAGTTATCCACTTCAACCAAATACGAAGCAACGAGAAAACCAGACCTATTGTAACCATGTGTACAATGGACTCCGATAATTTTAGTTGGGTTTTGTTCAATAAATTCTTTACAAACGGCATAAAATTTTGATGTTATTTCCTCTGTCGGCGCTTCGCTAAATCCCTCGCAGCTTAGTTTCAAATATTCACAATCGTAGATGTCTTTAACATGGTTGACGTTGTAGAAATTTGTTGAGTTTGTCAAGTCGATGATCAAGCCCATTGTTAGTTTCATATTTGCAACAGATTCAAAAACCATTTTTAAATTGAATCTGTATTCATTAGGCAATTCACGGTTATATTTTTCATCCAGCGGTGTTTTAAACACCATGAATTTATCGGATATTAGCGTACTTCGTCGGGGACAGTGCAACCACTTTGGAGGAACTTTTATTTCCTGCTGCTGATTATGATGCTGCTGTTGTTGTAGTTGCATCTTATTTTCTTGGTTTTCCATGGTGCACAAGAACAATTGAATCACTGGTCAAATAATGTGTAATTTTTTAACAGATTATCACACAAAACTTTCCGATTTGGATTGTCTTTCTATTTTTTATTTTCAAAGCGCGTTTTAGATGTTTGATTTGAATTGATCAATCAAATTAGCTTATCCAGCAAAATTTGTAGTAGTTAAAACTTTTGAAGATTTCAAAATGTATTAAAATTTTCTATACTCGAACGAAAGCTAAGGCGGTTAGTGATTTGCAAAAGATAACTCATCCACATAGATATATATAGTGCCTTTACCAATGGAATCAATTAAGCTTAACTTCATGGTGTAACAAACCTTTGTTAAACTACCTCCAATAACTTTTAATTCCAATAAAGAAGCTGTTACTAGATTAACCTAGTTAAACTTACTTTGACCCAATAAAACTTACTTTAACCACCTAATTAAATATAATTAAAGTTACTTTTAAAATTAAAAGTTACTTGAATTATATATAATTAAAGTTAATTATATTTAATTAGGTGGTGTTGTATTGGTGTACACACACTCACACACGCACACACAAACACAGTCCACATTAATGAATGCAATATTGATTGACGAGCGCAATTGATATGATAATTGCAATAAAGCAGATGTCACGTAGCTTGATTTATCTTAAAGTTACTTTGACATGTACAAAAACATTCCGTGAAGCGTGAAGTGTCAGCGTAAGATCATAAAATTATTTTAATGATTGTAACTCACACAACACACACACAAACACACACATTAAATATACAAAGTTTGATGAATTCACAGACATTCCTAAAAAGAAAACACAAAAAAAGTCTACATATTAAGATAATTCGTAATTCACTTAATTTACATAATTCGTAACAATGTGCCTATAATAATGTTATGAAAAATAAAAATAACTTTTGATAACTTTGAAGTTACCGGTCATATAGTTAACAATGATTATGTAACAATCTTTTTGATGGTGACTTTGATAATAACAAAATGTTGGATTCTTTTTAATCTAATCATTTAAGGATCTGATAATGTTGAATCGATCAGATTATAGTTATAATCTTGGATGACACTTTGCTGCTAATGTTTCATAATTTACTTTGTTATCTCTATTCTATTGGTATTTCGGGATGATTTTATAATTGCACCTCTCTGGTTATTAATTATAACAACTTATAATTTTTATTGATTAAATTATCACTACTAATTATTATTATCATTATTGTTGTTGTTGTTAATTATTTTTATTACTATTATATTTTTAATCATATTCAGTTATAATAAAATTGCATATCAAAATTTTTGTAGTGTACTCGTTATGTTCACCATTAGTTCAATGTACTCGAAATCTTATTATTGAAAGTTCAAAACAATCCGAAATCGTATTTCTTCCTCTTTGGTAGCATTCATTATGACTTTTATTTTAGAGTTGATTAATCAGTTTTCACGTTGACTTTTAATGTTTAATGACTAATTCTAGTTTTAGCTGGAACAATACAAACAGAAAAATAAATTGAAGTATGCAAATTATTCGCTGATGATTTTGATAATAAGTGCCAACTATCATCTTATCGTTCTTACCTGTGAAGTATTAATTTTTCAATAATAGATTTCTGTGAATTTATAACTGATTTAATTGTTTTTATTTGAATTTTCAAAAATAGAAATTTTATACAAAATCACTCATAGACTGCAACAAATGATTAATGAAATTTTAATTTTAATGATTAAGATTTATTGAAGATCTGATGCCATATTGTAAAGGTTAAGGTGCTTGGCATTGCTGTTGAAGTGACCTAGTTCGAATGAAAAATATTTCCGCCTTTTCCATGCAACGTGCGTGATGCCGTGATTCACGTGTATTTACAAACCCATTGTTTGTGTCTTTGAGAAATCTTGGAGAGAAAATTGATAAAACCTATTTACGTTTCATTGCACTGTAGATTTTTAAAACGCCTTGAGTTATCTTCAGAGGCGCTAATTGTGCTTCGGTTTGTTAAAAAAATGATGTTTCAAGCGTCAATACTGATGTAAGAGTTGACTTTTAAACCAATCGGTAATGAGTTCCAAGTCCTGACTGCTGCAACTGAAAGCTTTTTTGCACAAAAAAGAGTTACTTTGAACGGAGGATAGAAACTATTTCCGTGCTTTGCTGATTTCAGTCGATTCCGACCAGGAACATCCGACACCAAATTTAACATTTCCTTTAAATAAGTCAGTGCTCTTTCATCCAGACAGTTTCTTACCATAAGAGCTATTTCATATCGAATTCTGTCCTTGATTGACATCCAATAAAGTTTGTTTTTTTATTTAATCATAAATGTTGTCAAATTTAAAAACCCGAGCAATCATACTAGCTGCAGACCTCAGAACCAATTGCTAAGATGCCAATTGATAATTGTTGACCCCATACAAACAGTGGTCGATTCTTGTACAGATAAGACTGCACACCAGAAATTTGCTGACTCTTCTGTAAGTGGTTAGACCAATTTGAAGACTACTGCAACATCAACAGTCTTATGGTCGCTTAACAAGTCTTATGTTTAAACAATTTAATAAAAAAATTAGATATGTAAATCAAATTACAACATCATCAGTGTTTGTAATAATGTTAAAACAAAATAGGTTTGGGGAAAAAACTTATTTCGAATGAACATCATGGTGATAAATGTAACCATTTTAAAATATTTCTGAAACACAATTTTAACGTAGAAAGGAATGATGCAAAACTCAAATGAATGGACAACCGTTGCAAAAGTCGGTGTAGCAGAGGCATGAGTATGGCACTTTTGACAGTTCTTGATAATTTTCAAATCGTTTCAATGTTTAAAACATATAAATTCTATTTGAAGTATTGGGGAATAGGATAGATGGGAAATGAGATTAAAATGAAACAAAAAAAAGTGATTGAGGTTAAAATTAACGAATGCAAATTTTATGGAACATTTATTAGAGGGTTATTTGGGCTGAAAATTAAAATGGCCTAAAAATTCTGAACAAAAAAATGGTGAAAGATTTCAATTGCGTTTACCTCACTCCGAAGCAACCAACAACAAAAAAATCCCTCGAGAAACTATACAGAAATCTTTTTCTAACAGCTCACTAGGGCCCAACCTAATGGATGGTAAAATGGTGCCTCTCACGGGGGTGGAAAATTTTAGAAGGTGGCAAAAATTTTTCACGTTGACTTTATATCATTTATATTATTAAATTATAACCGTTATTATTGTGGATAATACTACATTCATTAGACGCTGTAGAGGTGTTTATACAATTTATCTATGTTCTCGTACACAGGAGCAAATGCACAATGTAAAAATAAGTCATTTTTATTGTCATTGAATTCTATTTATACTATTCATATTCAATTTTCAAATTTGTCTTTTTTTTATTTTTGTAAAATATAAAGCACCGCAAAGTTCAACAAAAACTGGATTCAATACTTTTAATATTTATTAACTAACTCTAGTTTTAGTTGGAACAATACAAACAGAAAAATGAAATGAAGTATGCAAATTATTCGCTGATGATTTTGATTATAAACTATCATCATATCGTCACTGTGTTCTAAATTATAGCAGGTCACCTGTGAATTATTCGTTTTTTTTATTAATGGGTTTTTGTGAATTTATAATTGATTTAATTGTTTTCATGTAAACTTTCATTATTATAAATCTTATACAAAATCACACATACAATGCATCGAGTGATTGCATGAACAACTCAAATATATTAATACATTAATGAAATTTTAATTTTAAAACTTAAGATTTATTGAGCTTCTGATGCCCTAGTGTAATGGTTAAGGTGCCTGGCATTGCTGTTGAAGTGACCTAGTTCGAATGCAAAAATATTTCAGCCTTTCACACGCAACGTGTGTGAAGCCGCGATTCACGTGTATTTACAAACCCATTGTTTGTGTCTCTGAGAAATATTGGGGAGAGAATTAATGAAACCTATTACGTTTCATTGCACTGTAGATTTTTAAAACGCCTTGAGTTATCTTCAGAGGCGCTAATTGTGCTTCGGTTTGTTAAAAAAATGATGTTTCAAGCGTCACGACTGAAGTCAGAGTTGACTTTTAAATCAACCGGTAATGAGTTCCAGGTCCTGGCTGCTGCAACTGAAAGCTTTCTTGCACAAAAATGAGTTACTTTGAACGGAGGATAGAAAAAATTTCCGTGCTTTGCTGATCCTAGTCGAATCCGACCAGGAACATTCGACACCAAATTTAACATTTCCTTTAAATAAGTCAGTGCTCTTCCATCCAGACAGTTTCTTACCATAAGAGCTATTTCATATCGAATTCTGTCCTTGACTGACATCCAATGAAGTTTGTTTTTTTATTTAATCATAAATGTTGTCAAACCTCGAAACCCGAGCAATCATACTAGCTGCAGACCTCAGAACCAATTGCTAGAATGCCAATTGATATTTGCAGACCCCATACAAACAGTAGTCAATTCTCGTACAAATAAGACTGCACACCAGAGATTTGCTGACTCTTTGTAAGTGGTTAAACCAGTTTGAAGACTACTGCAACATCAACAGTCTTATGGTCGCTTAACAAGTCTTTTGTTTAAACAATTTAATAAAAAAATTAGATATGAAAACCAAATTACAACATCATCAGTGTTTGTAATAATGTTGCAACAAAATAGGTTCGGGGAAAAACTTATTTCGAATGAACATCATGGTGATAAATTTAACCATTTTAAAATTTCTCTGAAACACAATTTTAACGTAGATTAAAATGGTGCAAAACTCAAATGATTAGCCAACCGTTGCAAAAGTCGGTGTAGCAGAGGCATGAGTATGGCACGTCTGACAGTCTTTCCTGATGATTGCACAGTGGAAAGTTGGAGAAAAAGGAACTGTCAGTCAAGCACCATCTATCTGCTCTGTATTCACCTGAAAATAAATTAAAAGCCTATGTTGTAAAACTATTGATTTAGTGCATATTACACGCTAATTCAAAACACTATCAGCTGATTGTTAACCAAGAAATCATCGTACTATATAAACTAATGAGTAATTTTGTTATCGTGTAGACAAATGAAAAATTGATGCAATTAATAGTTTGCATTAACAGATGAAAGACATGTAAGAACCGTTCTCAGTGAAGTACTTGGTCTTGATGCAGTAGGCCCCTTTGCACCTGCCGTTGGTTCCTCCCGGTACAATGCACTGGATGCTGGAGCTGGAGAAACATTCGTAACAGTCGAGCTGAATCGCGGCGCTGCTAACGTGCAGACTCTTCAAGATCAAAGCAAGAAAGATGATTTGAAATGTTAAAAATTTAAGGTCTATTACTGTGTAATATATATCAGTAGAGGTAAATAACTTTTTATGAATCATTTTCAAATAAATTGTTTTAAGCGACTGATGAATAGTTTTTTCGACTCGGAAAAATAAGTGGTAAAAACACTTTGAAGAAATATGACGAGAAGTAAATGAAATGGATGTTTTGCGAATGATGATGGCGTTCGTTGTTGAAATCACTCAAAACTCAGTTTCAACTTTTCACCTTTTTTTTGACCGCTGGACAATATTTTTATTGAAATCATACAAAAAAAGTTGCTGAAATTTATGTAAAAAGTAATTCCAATACATGCACGTTAACAAATGTTTCAGTGAAGACAGCTGATCATTTAAAGGAAAACAATGCACTTTCGTAGTTACTATTCTTTCATATATACATACATACATACTACATGCATACATACATACATACATTACAAACATTCATACATACACACTTACATACATACGTATATACATACATACATACATACATACATACATACATACATACATACATACATACATACATAAATACATACATACATACATACATACATACATGCATACATACAAACATACATGCACACATATACGTACTTATATACATATACTTATAAACATTTATAAATATATATATATATATATATATATATATATATATATATTCATCCAATTTTTAACCAATACACGCATTTGCATGTATATATATATATATGTATTTCGATGTATATATATATATAATAGAATATTGTAAAAATTATGGTCTATTACCAACATATATATATATATGTATATATATATATATATATATATATATATATATATATACTTATATAAATATTTAACAAATGTCAAAGACCAAAGTTAACTTCGAATGATCTCTTAAAACTTAAAAATTCTTACAAACGTGAATTGCCAGCCTGGTGTAATAAATAACTACTGTTTGGTTATTATTCATTTTCTATAGTGGTATTATAGGGGGGGTGGTATTTTTCTCGGGGAGGGGTATTTGTCCTGGAGTATTTTGCTCGGAGGGTATTTGTCCGGGTGGTAATTGTCCGGAGGATTTATATATATATATATATAATAATAATAATAATATAAACATTTATGAAGCGCCCATTCGCACAGCTGCTTCAGAGGCGCCCGGAGCTCGTGTTAAAAGATGAGACAATGTTAAGACAATGTTCTTCGTTGAGTCTTTTTGAAAAGACTCAACGAAGAACATTGTCTTAACTTAGGAGGTAACGCATTACAGACATACGGAGCAGCGTGACGAAAACCGCGGCCAGTCAGGCGGGATCCGGCAACGGGAATGTTTAAGATACCTGTTGAGCTGCTGCGGAGTGATCTAGTATGTTCATGTCTGGATATGAGGTCGTATAGATATGTTAGGGATTTTAATAAAAGGGTTTTGAAAGTAAGGACTGCAATTTTGAAGATGATTCGAGCGGAAATTGAAAGCCAATGAAGCATTGGAAAGAGAATGAAAGAACCAAAAAGAGGAGGTTTATTAAATATAAGTCTTGCAATTTTATTTTGGATAGTCTGTAGATTTCTTACAAATGCACGTGAGGCCCCATACAATAATATAAATATATATATATCCATATATTCAGAATAAGATTGTCCGTAAGATACCGACGTTACAATGAAAACAAGCGTTTAAAATATATAGAATACATATAAATATATTCTGAATAAATATATATATATATATAAATGTATATATATATATATTTTAAATATTATTGAAGCTAACCTTTTCTCGTTTTCAAAAACAATGCAACATTGCGGCGCATGTCAGTTTTAATAATACAACCATGACATCATGCACTTTGAGAAACAATGTCAATAAAATAATGTTACTTTAATAATTCTGTGCCCTAGAAAAAAAAATTAGAAAACATAATGATAGCGCAAACGTAAGCAAAGGACACATCAGATTGACAGTAAAATACCGACGTAACAAAGAATACAAGCGTTAAAATTTTATTGGCAACAAACCATTGATGAAGAAAGAGATAGTTACTTTAAAAAAAGCCACGTCATAGAAAGCAGGTTCGAGAAAATGTTGAATAAAAAAATAAATAAATGTATTTGCTGGACAGTATTTGTTTTTTTTATTAATTAATTGATTGATTAATTAGTTAATCAAGATTATCTCTAGATTAAGTTGAGTCCGTTAATTTACTCATGGAATTGTCATCGAAAATGAGCTAATTTACAAAAATTCAGCTAGATCGGAAGATAGTGAAACATACAAACAACCATATATATATATATATATATATATATATATATATATATATATATATATATATATATATATATATATATATATATATATATATATATATATATATATATATATATATATATATATATATATATATATATATATATATATATATATATATATATATATATATATATATATATATATATATATATATATATATATTTTAGATTGGAGAAAAGTGATAGTTCAGATACAAACATTAACAGAGATGCTTACAAGAACATATTAATTGACATTTTCACAGCAATTGTTGGTACAAAGTTTGATTTTGCTTTGATTGAAAAATTTTATAGATTAGGTAAGAAGGGGACTTTGTCTAGGCCACTATTATTGTCATTTAAAGATTGGATGACTAAGAATTTGATAATGGAGAATTTAAATAAATTAAATTTATTAGGAAATAACTATAAGGGCATAGGTATAGCTCATAATCTGACCAAAGATCAAAGGGCACAAGTAGAGAAACTGGTAGATGAGCCCAAGGAGAAAGAAAAGGTTGAATCGGGAGAATACATATACAGGGTAAGGGGTATTCCAGAAAAGATGCGCATTGTAAAATTGTTAGCAAAAAGAGTATAGTTGATTTAAAATTACTATATTCTAACGTGGATTGTATGGTAAATAAACTTAACGAAATAAAGGCTCTGGTAAATTTATATGATTATGATATTATGCTCTTTACTGAGACTAATCCAAAATATTTGTTGGAGGATATCTTGTTTTCAGAGTTTGTAATTGATGGATATAAGCTTTTGACTGTCAACTTTATGAAAAAAGGATACAGAGGAGTCTGTTGTTTTTCATTAGATTTTCTTCCTTCAAATTCATCTATGTCTATTTCTAAAAGATGCTGGTCTTCTCTTAATAAAGATATTTTTTTTCAATCTCTTACTGAACCTATTTTTGATACTACCTTATTTTCTGATGTTGATGATTTTGTCTGTGCTTTTAATATCTACATTACTTCTATTCTTGATAAGCTTATTCCTCTTAAATCTTTTACTTATAGGCTCTATTCTCGTAAGGCTCCTTGGTTTGATTATGCTTGTGTAGTAGCCAAGAAAAGTCTTAGAAGACTGGAGAAAGCCTATAGGTTAAATCCATCTAACTCTCTTTATTCTATCTATGAATCTGAATTGATTAATTATAAATATCTACTATTCTCTAAACACTCTACTTTTCTTAGAAATTCTATAACATCTGCTTCAACATCTAAAAATAGGTGGTCTGTTCTATCTAAACTTCTACATAAAAAATCTTCTCACTCATCTTTCTCTGCTCAACAGTTTCATGACTTTTTTGTAAATAAAATTACTTCTTTAAGAACATCTAATTCTAATTTTCCTTCTCATAACTTTACTAAACTTACTACTGAATCTTTCTCTGTATTTACTCCAATAAATCTTTTAGAACTAACTAAAATTATTAATTCTATGTCGTCTACAACCTGTTCTCTAGATCTACTTCCTTCTAATTTACTTAAAGAATTTTCTTCAATATTTTATCCAATCATTCTCAAATTAGTTAATTTATCTCTTTCCACCTCTAAATTTCCTACTTCTTATAAGAATTCTATTGTATTCCTATTCTAAAAACACT